CACAAGGCAGTTGTTTGATCATCATCATAATACCAAAAACAAAACAAAAAACAAAACAAAACAAAAAAAAGACAGTTATTTCTTATATTTACATGATTCCGTAAATTCACGGATTCGATCCAAGCCACGCCCACTTTTCTCCTCTCTTCCACTCCCGACCGGTGCTTAATGAGATCGCTCCACTACCGAGATTTAAAAATACCATTTTTATATACGCATTTTTTTAAACGTAACAAAAATAGGAAAAAATGTAAGATATCTGCAGGCCCGTATGAAGGAATTTCAGTTGGGGGGGGGGGGGGGGTTACAGCCATACATTTTCAGTTGGGGGGCACTATCAACTACCAAAAATTTCTTGACAAGCAAAAAAAGGTCATCAGACGTTTTTATTGAGGGGGAACAAGCTAGTAGTACATGTAGCTATATATTCTATAGTTATCTATATATCGGCAAAATTATTGGGGTGGGGGCGGCCCTCCCGTGCACCCCAGTTCCTACGGCCATGATCTGAATGTAGATATGGAATTAAATCTCATAGTTGCTAACCACGAGTTTTGTGCCCATTCTTTATCCCCAAACCCGCGGCTGTATACTACAAAATTCTCTCATTTTTATAAATATTAATGATACACAATCAAAGACAATAATCTGACGCGTCAAGTTAAAAACGTTTTGTCCTATATAATTGATCGGTCTATCTTGTATTTGGATATTAACATAACCACTTGTAAGTGCAACAGAGTGATTTCATTGGTCAAGATAAATCTGGCGTCATTTGATAAATATTCAGTGATTCATTCGCGAGAACGGGATTATTTTATAGTAGACAGCCACGGGTTTGTGGAAATGAAATGGACACAGGACCCATGGCTTGCGACGATGAATTAATCGATGAAGTTACCGTTTCTTGAAAATTCTAAGAAAAGGGCCAGGGTTACACAGTCCATATATCAAATCTTAATGCCTGTGTAAATTAATTTATTCAAAGTATAAGGGCAAATAACACGGTTCATTCAAAAAGAAATTCAAACTTGATCTGTAAGTCATCAATATAAAGAGACATACAAAAAATCAACGCATTTTCTACAAGCACGTCAAAAAATAAATTATTCCAGAAAACAGTGATTCAGAAATTTGATACCAAATAATATCTAATTATCAACAAGCCCGCAAAGGATAAAAGTTCGGAAAAAGGGTAAAACTATATGTCCCGGCCGGCCATTTCATGACGGGGCATAAATATCTAAAAATCTACTGGAAGCTTCCATGTTTACAAATGTAAGAATACGCATTTTGGTTAACAGTTTGTATGTTAATTATTACAAGGCACTGGAATACAAAATCAAAATATCCGCTATGTAAAGAGGTACACAAATGTATAGCAAAGTTTTCTTGTTAACATTCAACGCGATTGACTCTGGGATAACAAAACTACCCCAGAAAGCATTGACTGGTAGCTATTTTTGACGCAGATCGAGCCATTCTAGCTGAAGTGAAAATGAAATAGACCAAAATACATCAGAAGATTTTATAGCAAAATTCACGATATTCATTGGAGGTGACAATGGCTACAAATTCATTTGAAACTTTCTGCGTTAACAAGGATTATTTAAAAGAAGCTTGGTCAGACCTTTTACGTTTGATTAACAGACAAAACGAAAGAAGACACGTCAAATATTTTTTGAGAAATACTTCGAAGAAGGAAAAAAAGATTTACGAGGAAACAATGATAATGGACGCTGCTTCTGTGCATTTTCCAAGAAAATGTTTATTGTCAAAAAATAAACAACTGAAAGGTATTTGGTTATCCCTTTGTATAGATGGTGAAGAAAAACCCAAAAAATTGCCATTTGGTACACAGTGTATCATATTTCCAGTTAATGAATTGCTAGATTATTTAAGATTATCAAAAATGGCTAATCATCAAAATAATGATAATGAGAAGGAAGAAGAGGAACGTCATTCGCATGAAGAGGAAAATGTCATTGTGCAAGATAAAGTCAAAGCAGGGGAAACGATTCTTTATACCCGTGAAAGAGACTTTTCAGAGAAACCCCATGAGCATGCAAAATTATGTAGAAGAAAGAAATCAAGTAAAATTCCAAAAATAATCCCTAGAAGAGATAAAATGGAGAAATTTGAAAGGAAAAATTGGCAGCGAGAGGATTTTTTGAAAGGTCAGAGTTCAAGAAACAAAAAATCAGCGAGAGATGAACAGAAGATCAATGAAATGGATTCTGTTGAAGGGTTGAGAGAAACCAAAGACCCTTTACTCTTTTTTGAAATTGCTTATTATTTCAACATGGATATTCAGTATGCCCGAATGGTACTTATCTCGGCATGGGATACCCATGTTCAGTGGTGCAAAGACAATTTACATCAAGTTCCACTTAGTAAGAACCCCGTTCTTGAGTGGAAAGATGGGGTTCTGAAGACAGTGAGTAATGTTCATCCAAAATTATTAGTAGACGTACTAGTTGTTGGAGATGTAGAATTAAACAGAATAAACAGTCATTCATGGTTTACGGTGAGAAAGCTTCCTCGTGCATCAAGCGATCCTTTTATAGGAGTTCACAAACCTGTAAATTATTTATTTCAATAATAATCCTCAACTTGCAAATATATTACTTTTAATTAGTCAACTGGTCATCAAACCAAAACATTCTTTGAATTGCAATAGCAGTTCCTTCTTGATTCTACAATTCTGAAAATTTGTTTTTTATATTTACAAACTTAAAGTAGAACCAAAGCTTTAGATGTTTACATATATAGTTATATCATAGGTTTTACCTGAATCCAGGTTTTGAGTTCATGCAATTAATCTCTTATTTAAATTTCTGCATTATTGATTTCTTCTTGCACTCCATTTTATTGTCTAGTAAATGTATGTATGTAAAAGAAATGGATCTGGATTATTCATAGCACAATACAACGGCTTAGAAAAGAGAACGATGATCGACAACTCCTTGATCTGTGATGTCAGAAATGAATACGCTGATCAGAATATTCAGACCTAAAATTGTCTTTAACCAATTGACAATCTTTAATAGCCAGTAAGTTTAAAGATGGTATACCAGCCCTTTGGACATTTCAAACTTTTTTGGGACAACCAAGATTTCTAGATAAAACGATTTTTTTTTTAAATTTACAATATTTGTATCAATGGCGCACAGAAGAATCATCAAGCTTGTTAAGACACTTTATGGCAGGTAAAAACCTTTTTAAGGCAAATAAACAAAACTAAGAGTGTCCTAGAAGAGGGCTATAATTAACCAGTACTGAAAAATTATAGAAACAAAACTAACGTAGGTAATCCAGAAAAATCAGACAAAGTGAATGAATAAAATTTCATTGCGACGATCGAAACGGACCTCTGCATATAAAAAAGAGCATTACATCAAACATAGACTTTTTTGTTGTATGACCCAGTATATTATTAACATATAACATACAGCAGCTGTGAACGACAACTTGTAAATGAAATGATTTCAATGTGTCTTTAAAAAGTAGTTATATAGACTTAAAAACCAATAATCTATTGTTCAACGACCTTTATTTTGAAATCAAAACATTACCGAGAAAGGAAAGTGAAACAAAATTTGAAAACGATGGCCATTCACAAATTTAAACCTTTCTACTTGACTAAAGATCGCTTGCTAAATTCATGGCAAGAACTCTTAAACTTGATTGCCGAACAAAAGGTAGCTAGGTAGAGGATGAAATTACATTTTGTTAGGATTAATGTACGAGTAGCGCTCCATTCCTGAAAAGTTCCCCGAAGGAGGCGAGGCCCATTGCTTTTAAGGAATGGAGCGCTAAGAGTACATTAACCCGCTTAAAATCCACTGTTTTAAATGCTTGTAAATATTGTTTGTTAATATATAATAAGGATATATATAAAAGATACACAGTAAATATTTATTTAACATATTAGTAGTATTTAATATATATATAGAGAGAGAGAGAGTAAGGCGAGTAAAGTGTAATAAAGTAATTTAAATCCGTCGGCTGTCAACAGCTTCGATAGCGTCTGACTATCATGGTGAGGGTACCGGGATTGATTCTCGGTGGTGCCGATAGGTTGTTTTCTTAATATGAAAATAAACTTTAGTGAAATTTCCTAAGTTCTTTCTTCGGTAGAGACAGGGAAAGGAGAATTTGAACAAAGCAAATACCGTTTTTAATGTAACTTGCAACTCGCTATTCCTGAAAAATAATGGAGTGCTCAAACAAAAAAGTGATGTTACAAGTGGATTTTAATTTCTACTTCATCACTGTCAAGGTCATTACGGAACCACATGAGATAGCGCTAGCTTATCAGACTTCAGTGTGCGGCTAACTTGGCTTCAGTGTAGATGTTCTTATCTTGTGTCTGGATTAATTTACGAGTGCGTTTTGTGTGAACATTTGTTAAGGGGAAGTTTTTATATTTCATAAACATGGCCACGGGTCATGAGAACTCAGACGATATGTCAAAAGATGATTTAATTTTGGAGTCTGATAGACCTTCTACTAGCAAGGTGGACTCAGAAATGAGCATTTTAAATGCTCTGTCATCGCTGCAAGGCAGCATGGATTCAATGGCCATGGGCATTTCAAAAATGGGTGAAGCATGGTCAACCCTGGCTCAATCTAAACCGGTTAAGGACCGGAATGTCAATCTCAAGAACAAACGCAAGGCGGATGATTCTGAGAGTGAAATAGACTCAGATGTGAGTGACAGTGTTTTATATGACGACGAAGATGATGTTAAAAGCCTTATTAATGGGCTGAGTAACAAACAAACTACCAAAGAAGTAGACAAAAAAGAAAAGGATGATGATGAAGATCAGTGGTTGGAAGAGATTGGGCAATCATTAGAAGAAGATGATGATATAGGCCCAGATACTAATCCTAAATTGGCTAACATAGCTAATAAGGCGTTCTCCAAGTTAACTTCTGGAGAAATAATAAAAAAGAAAAAGAGTACTTACAAGAGACCAAAAAACTGTGAGAAGGTTGTGGTGCCAAGAATAAACAAAGAAATTTGGAGGCGCATGAAAGTGGGTTTCATGAAAAAGAGAGATATGAAAATGACACAAATTCAAACATGCATAACTAAGAGTGCATTTGCGGTTATGCAGGTTGCGCAATATATATTAAAACAAGATAAAGCAGTAGACGGTAAAGAGGATGCAGTACGTGCATGTACTGACGTTCTTTGTCTACTGGGAGATGCTAGCACATCAATATCTTACAGAAGAAGAGAACTATTAAAACCAGTTCTTAAGAGTGACCATGCTGGCTTATGTGACACAAACGTCCCAGTAACATCTTTGCTATTTGGGGACGATTTATCTAAAACTTTGAAAGAAAGCAGAGAAGCAAATAGACTGGGAAGAGATCCTTATCAGTCAAAAAACTGGAAAAGGACGGGCTACAAGTACCAATATGCCCAAAACAACGAGAAGCAGGAAAAACAAAGCCTCAAGAAGAAACAAAGAAAGTTTTAGAAGAAACTGTACAGACTGTAAATAAGGTAAACAGTTTTACTAGCATTCATGTAAATAATGTTATAACAAGGCAAAAAGAATGTGAAGATAGGTTTCAACAATTTGTTTCTAACGCGTGTACACAAGCAAATGCAGACATAAAAAATTTTAAGGGAGGAAGAGTAAAACAATTTTTAGATCAATGGAAGTCTTTAACATCAGATAATGAAATTCTAGGTATAATACAAGGGTTGCACCTCGAATTCATTACAAGTCCACATCAGGATAGAATTATAAGACAGAGGAAATTTAGCGAATCTGAATCATTGGCAATTGATATTGAGATAAAAAACCTACTTAGTAAAAGTGTTATTGTTGAAAGTCAACATGAAGAAGATCAATTTTTATCGCCTATTTTCTTGAGACCTAAAAAGAATGGGACTTACAGGCTGATATGTAATCTGCAAGAATTGAACGAAAATATTGCATATCACCATTTTAAAATGGAATCATTACAATCAGCAATTCAAATGATGACAAAAGATTGCTATATGGCTTCCATAGATTTAAAAGATGCATATTATTGCATCCCAATTAATGAAAAATATCAGAAATATCTCAAGTTTCAGTGGCGTTCTAAGATCTATATGTATACAGCGTGCCCCATGGGTCTTTGTATGAGCCCCAGAATATTTACTAAAACGCTGAAACCAATATTTTCCACATTGCGATATCAAGGTCATCAATCAGTTGTGTATATTGATGATACTTATTTACAAGGGGAGACAAAGGAATCGTGTTGCAGAAATGTTGAAGCAACTGCTACACTGCTAACAAAAGTTGGTTTTGTCATAAATCCTGATAAATCTGTGTGGCATCCCTCACAATGTATTGAATTTCTTGGGTTTATATTAAATTCAGTAACGATGACTGTGTCGTTGACAAAATCTAAAGTAGAGAGAATATCTGAATTGTGCAAAACAATCTTGAAAAAGAAATTAATTACAATTAGAGAATGTTGTCAGTTTATTGGAACTTTGATTTCTACTTTACCAGCAGTTTCTCATGGGAAACTTTTCTATAGGCAATTAGAAAATGAGAAGATAATAGCATTGAAGCAAGCTGGTGGTCAGTTTGAAAGTAAGATGCAGTTCTCACATATAGCAAAATCTGACATTAATTGGTGGCTTGAGAATATACATAAAGTAGTCAATCCCATTTGTAAGGGGGAACCAGATGTGGTCATTGAAACTGATGCTAGTTTGAAAGGTTGGGGAGGCGTTTGTCGGCAACTTAACCTGTTAGCAGGGGGTCCATGGAAAGAGGACGAAGCTAATTTCCATATTAATGTACTAGAATTGCAGGCAGCTCTGTACACATTAAAGTCCTTTTTCTCGGATAAGAAAAATATACACATACAATTGTTAATGGATTCAGTAACAGCTGTATCTTATGTCCGAGAACAAGGGGGCAGTAAATCATTAAAGTGTAATGAGATAGCTAGAGAAATCTGGATTTGGGCTTTACATAGAAATATTTGGTTAAGTTCTGCACATATACCAGGAAAAAATAATTGTCAAGCTGATTTTGAAAGTAGAAATTTTAATGAAGATTATGAATGGAAACTAGATGAAAATATATATTTAAGTGCAATCTATAAACTTCAGTTTAAACCAGAAATAGATTTATTTGCTAGCAGAATAAATCATCAAATTTCTAAATATGTATCTTGGCGCCCAGAACCAGAGGCATATGCTGTAGATGCATTTTCCTTAAATTGGAAAAATTTGAATGTGTATTGTTTTCCTCCTTTCAGTATCATTCCAGCAGTTCTCCAAAAAATGCATACAGACAAAGCAACTGGAATAGTGGTAGTACCAAACTGGCCAACGCAGCCGTTCTATGCAACAATCATGAAAATGCTAATAGACTATCCAATCTTCATAAAGAAAAGCCCTTCACTTCTAATGCTACCAGGGAAGACTTCGGTTCACAAAATATGGGACAGACTAGACCTCCTAATGTGCCTATTATCCGGCGATCCATTGAAAACCACCAACTTCCGGAAAATGTTACAAGCATCATCATGTCGTCATGGAGGAGGGGAACAACTAAACAATATAGATGCTACCTCAACAAATGGGAAATTTTCTGTAGTAGACGGAACATCAATTCACTTCACACATCTGTAAACAATGTGTTAATTTTTCTAACAGAATTGTATGAGACTGGCATAGGATACTCTGCCATTAATACAGCGAAGAGTGCATTGTCGAACGTTGTTTCACTGTCAGGAAATGACAGTGTACAATTAGGAAATCACGCACTTGTTAAGCGTTTCATGAAAGGAATATTTAATAGTCGACCTTCTCTTCCGAAATATACTCAGGTGTGGGATGTTTCCCTGGTGCTTCAGTACTTGAAGTCTATTTCTATTGAAGACATAACATTGAAACAGCTGACATTGAAAACAGTGATGTTACTTGCTGTATTGTCTGGACAACGTGTGCAAACTTTGGCGATGTTATCTATTACTAACATGTGTTTGACGACGGATAGTGTACAGTTTTATATAGATCAACTGTTGAAACAAAGTAGACCAGGAAAACATTTAGGGATACTACGATTTCAAAAATATCATGAAGAAAATGTGTGTATCATAAAACACTTGAATATGTATGTGGACAAAACGAAACATCTACGTGACACAGATAATTTACTTGTTAGTTACCAAAAACCACATGGGGCAGTAACGCCTGAAACGATTTCTCGTTGGATAAAAAGTGTGTTGGCAGCAAGTGGTATTGATACAACTGTATACTCCGCGCACAGCACGAGAGCAGCGTCTACCTCATCAGCGGTAGCTCAGGGGTGTCCAATTGATGTGATTTTAAAACAAGTGGGATGGTCAAGAGCAGAAACATTTGGAAAATTTTATAATAAAACTACTGATAACAATTATACTTGTACGATTGATCAGAAAGTGTTGGAAACAATTTAAAGAACGCTGAAATGTTTAAGCTGTTTAATTGTACAGTGATTTGTAGCATGCATTTATTGTTTTTTAGCAATAACTGGTAATCATAATAAATACTACAGTTAGTATTTGTAATTTTCTGTTTTAGGCATCCAATGGCCAAATGGCTTTAAAATCTCATGTGGTTCCGTAATGACCTTGACAGTGATGAAGTAGAATTGGAAATTAAACGAGACTTACCTGTAAGTTGAAGTTTGATTGGAATTCTACTTCATTACTGTCGGGAATGGAGGAATCACATGCCACACCCTTGCTAGCTTCCCCACCCTAGACATTTATTGCTACTTCATTTTTTAATTGGATTATTTGACCATTGGATTTTCTTTCTCGGTTTTAAATACTGAAGTCTGATAAGCTAGCGCTATCTCATGTGATTCCTCCATTCCCGACAGTAATGAAGTAGAATTCCAATCAAACTTCAACTTACAGGTAAGTCTCGTTTAATTTCCAATTCTACGAAGTACATGCACAAAGGAGCGCTTAATCTACGACAAAAATGGAGTTATGGACGGGGCCGATGTGCATTTCCCAAGGAAATGTATTTTAGCCTGAAACCAAGAATTGGAAGGAGTTTGGATGGGAGTATGTCTTTTAAGTCTCGGGAGACCGGACATTTTACCATACGGTAACCAATGTATTGCCTTACCAGCAAAAGATATTATTTTTTACCTAGGTGAAAAGTCAGAGAAAGCTGACGATGTTGAAACAGAGGAGGAGACCGACGACGAAAAATATATGCATAAACTGACCCCATCCTTAATGGAGCCGAGGTCGTTATTTGAAGAAAAAGAGAAATCTCCTCGTAGGAAAAAAGTGAAACCAAAAAAGATAAAAAATTTTCATGGTATGGAATGAAGAAAACCAACTGGAAGCGGGAGGAATTTCTTAAGGATTCATCGACAGAAATAAAAGCGAAGGGAAGAACAGAAGTCAACAAGAAAACAAGGATTAAAGATGACAGTATTAAATTCCTAAGTATGCCAGGAAACGATGATGCGCCTTTACTTTTCTTTGAAATTGCATATACCTTCAATAGACGTAACCAATACGTTCGGATGCTTCTCATTTCTAATGAGGACAGGCAGGTTGACTGGTGCAGAGAAAATTTGCTTGAAGTTCCTTTGGATAATAATCCCATTTTACAACTATGGAATGGAAAAGTGACGACATCAAAACATTCCCATCCCAAACTGATTCTGGAAGTTTTCATTGTTGGCGATATAAATCTGAAGAAAATACAAAGCGATCCGATCTGGTTAAGAACAAAGAAAGGAAAACGGTCATCACGTGACCCCTTCATTGGTGTTCACCGAAAATAAACATTGAAAACCAGGACAAGAATTAAATGATTCGAATCTGTGATAAATAATTCAGTGAGATAAGACTTTTAATTTCTATTTGAAGATACTAGTTTGCTATTTATATTTAAAACATATCACGAAAATGTACATGATAAAAATATAATATGTTATATCTCTCTTTTAGCTTAAGATATAGAATTGTGAAGGGAAAAAATTAGATCTGAAGGTATTTGGCGACTATAATTATGATGCACTTTCACTTTCTATTTTGTTTCGTTAAATGGGAAAATTATGGGAGGTATTCCTAATATTTAAACATTAAATGATTTGTTTATATTCATAGAATGTTTAAACCTGGGAGGTTTTGTTTGTGTTTCTGGAAAAAAATTCGATGCTGTATGGCTAGACTTGATTTAAAGGGATGACTCAATATATGTGAGATCAAAAAGAGCGATTACTGCTCACTAATACGCTCATATGCTGCACAAAAATTAAATCTTGTCTCGAAACTGTAAACTGAGAACAATTTTTCTGAAGTAGTTTTGAATATATAGCATTTTTCTTATCATGTGCTTGTATCAGAATGTCATACACACTTGAAACTTTTCAAACAAAATTAATAATTGTTAATTATAAATCAAATTAAAAAATTCAAATCTAAATTATGATGTAAATCTGTTATCAATTTATGGTCTTCGAATCTAGTATCTGTTTCATTTCTTTTGGATTGTAAATTATTTGTATTGTCAGTGTGTTTGCGTGTAAATCAAAGTAGAAGCACTCAATTTATATTCACCTTATTTTTTAATATATTGTATGTGTACTGTAAGAAAACTATTTTTTAAAATTAATTACAATCAAATCATTACAAATAGTATTTCAAAAAAGTATATTTTATATTAAATTGAAGAAATATTATATTACTTTTTGTGGCATGGAAAAAGAGTACTAGTTTTTTTTATGTAAATGTTTAACAGTTATTGCTTGTGGTTCCTAATTAGAAAAATTAAGAAATTGTGGAGAACTGAGAACTTAACACCTCTTAATTCTTTATCTTTATAATTTAAGAATAACATTTTTTCGTATCAAAAATGTGTTTTCGATAATAAGAGTTGGTTCTCAACCGAAAAAAATATAAATTGTAATGATATAGAAAATATGACAATACTCTTTTAATGTTTTTTTTATTTAATTATATATATTTTTTGTTATATATATATATATATATATATATATATATATATATATATATATATATATATATATATATATATATATATAAGGGGTGATCAAAAAGATCGCGAACTAATTGAATAACTTCAATAAAAGAAATATAATTAGGTTTCAGTATTTATTATTTTTTAAAGTAGTCCCCTCCGATTTTAATGCACATCTGCCACCGTTCTGCTCATGCACAAAACACGTTGTCCAGGCGGCCACGTGACATGCTCTGTAGCGTTCTTTCCATAGAGGACTCTGAGGTTATTTTTTTTTAACAAATCCTTATCCTTATCCACTATGAGCATGGTGTCCATCACAACCCGACTCCTCTGTCTTTGGTGCGTCGTTTATCTAATTTGGATCAAGTATGGGCGCCTTCTCTTTATCATATCCGATATGTTTAAAGTCTAAATTAAAGGACATTTAAGGGATTTTTCTAACTGTAGCCTGGCGATCTTTCATAACAAATTGCTCAACTAAGGACACCACTTTCCCATCTTACTTTCACTGGGCACCAGAACAAACATCATTTTTAACCATTTCCCTTTCTTCAATGAAACAGTCAACCAGATTAATGATTAAACTTCTGTCAAGTCCTTTATCTTCATAAACCTTGTACATATTATTATATGCTACTGCAAAGGAATTTCCGAAACTTACGTTAAACTTTACAGCCTTTCCTCGCTCGAGTACGACTGAGTCAACCATTTTTTGTCAAAAGTCATCTAAATATTGACGTCATTTTCACAGTGTGACGTCATAAACATAGAGCAAAACATTACGTAACATCTGCTATTAATAGAACATGTTTATATGTCTATATGTGTACCAAATTTCATTTTGATCTGAACTCGTTTTCTCAGGATTATAGATGTTTATTAGAGGTCTTTTTTCTTTGGGACGATCATAACATGTAGTATATCATTTGATGATGCACAAACAAAATATATTTTACAAAGACATATTGAAATTCCAATTAGAAATGACATTTCTATAAATTAAGAATTTTTTTTTTATAATTTCTAAAATATTTCATATGTAAATGTAAAATTCTTCAGTCATATGCGTTCCGATTCCAAAATTGTATTCGAGTTGCGAGTTGAAATGTTTGTTGATTTCGAGTTCCACACCTAAAGAGAAAAAAACCTTTTCTTTGTTCATTAAAAATGTTCAATTGAACATACGGTCTGCCAGTTTTCCGAAATTAAGAGTGTTTTTAATAAAATCTTGAGTACTTCGCATTTTAAAGTCAAAGGTTTAGCATCCACATAAATAGGGGAGATGAAAATATCACCATATGACCATCTAATTCTGTTATAATTTTCTGATGAGATCTGTACTCACAATAGGTGTGGTACATGTATGTTGCACTTCTTTTACTGGCAGTATGTCTTAAATTATCAAACAGCTCTTTTTTTTTTCAACTTTCAGAGTCTCCATCATCATTAAAATCAAGAAACAAATATTTACGACAAATTAATCTTTTCTACTTGGCACGCAGAGTGCCCTTTTTGTACCATCCTCTTTAGATGACACTCAGGAAAATTAATGCAATAATTCAGAAACAAAACACACTCTGACTCTTACAAATTTATACATCGAGGATGTAAGTTTAAAAGAAAGATTCTCTTTAACTCTGTGTTTTCCAAAGTATGGCATCTAAAATGTTAAGAAAATGTAAAAGAAATTTAAAAAGTCATGAGATCCTTCTATGGGTGATTCATTGAATCATATAAACTGTATAGATACCATTGATCAGTTACCTATATTTTGATATATATATATAGGTTAAGAAGTAAGCGCAATTTAATATTCTCTTTTACAAACTATATTACAGATATGTTGTCTGATTTTACGCAATACTTGGTCCTCACAATATCTCATCGTTAAAAAAAAATGGTTTTTGCATATTATTTTTAACCTAATTGACAATTTTATTTATGAAATATTTACACTGCACCTTAGGCCAAACAGGGAATCATTTAATATTTATGAAATTGATGGGAATTGACATGAATGCCAATAGTAAAAATTTGTTTGATACCTGCTCAGTAAATTTTTTACATACAACATATGTAATACGAAATATTTCGTCGTTAAAATTAAAATAAAAACAAAAGCCTAACAATTTATATGAAAAAAGTCAGCCAAAATACGATCCAGTGATAGGTTACATGTACCAGGTACATTTGCTAACAAGGTCATTATAACGACCACAAAGTTTACGAAATGCCGACTGGTTGTTGAGATCCACATATCATTAACTTACTAGTATCTGCCAATGGTAGTGTTATATATTTCGCCTTCCTGGCTTACTTTTTTGAAAGAGAAATAAAATATTTTAAAATACGTTTTTTCCCCTGAATTTCAAAAGTTGCTCGATACGTTTAAAATTGAGTTATCTATTTTCATTTCTTTTCGAACTATCCCCCTTTGCTAAACACATGAGAACAATGTACTTTATAATGTACCTTACGGAAAAGAAATCAATTCGCAATATAGATGTTAAATGGTTGTTTTTGAGATAACCATGTGTGAGGTAAAGA